CTCTTGCCGTAAACTTCTCTCCGTGGATCATGATTCGGTGCGCCCTCACGATCACAATGACTAGTTTTTTCCATTTATTTAGTACACTATTCCCTTGGTTTCTGGTCATCGACAAAATTCAGATAGCCGATGGTTAGTTTTTCACCTACTTGCAGGAAAATGATTTATAAACTAACTGAGAAAAATTAATCTCAATGCTGTTTTTCCACGTCCCCACTTAGCCTGTAACCTTTTGTCTGTCAGTTAAAACTATCTAAGGCATTCTAAATTGTCCGTGTTACAATTTTTTTGAATCCCATTGGTGAATTTTCAGGACCAGAACTCGGGATGATGAATTGGGCATGCTAGGATGCTGAAAGGTCTTTACTACTTTGTGAAGTACCTGTTTAGTAATAAAAGTTAGAAAGCTTTAAATAGTCTAGTTCAATCTCTGTTCGAGAAAAATAATGCTATGGCACTCTAATAGGCTAGGACATCTGGTTTTTTCATTAATCTGAACATTTTAATTTTCAGAATTAATTTAAAGGGATTGATGTTTTTTTTCCATTGTGAAAGTTGCATTTTTGCCAAAAAATTTTTTTTTCAATCGCTCTACTTATTTCCAAAGCCTTACCAGGCTTCCAACCTTTTTTATTTGATTCATAGTGATGTTTGGGCCCCTTTCTAAAAATCTACTCTTTCTGTGTAAAAGATGGTTTGTTAACATTTATGATGACCAATACCGCTTAAGTTGGATTTATTTTGGATGAATAAAAAAATCTGACGTGAAAAAATTTATTCACAAATTTTTAAACAATAATGATTGAAAATCAATTTCAAACCCAAAATTGGTATTTACATTCTGATAATGGAAACAGAATATTTCAATGAGCAGTTGGGTGAGTTTTTGGAAAAAAGAGGGATTTTTCATCAGATCCTACATGTCGGAATACCCCTCACAAAATGACATTGGCAGAACGAAAAAATAAACATTACTTGAAGTAGCACGTGCTTAATTTTTACATGCATGTTCCTAAATATTTATGGGGTGAAGCAATTTTAAAAAGCCTCCTTATTTGATAAAGCAGGATGCCTACAAAAGGTGTTTAACATACAAACAACCTTTTGATTGTCTCAAACTTTTTTTTCCTGACACGAGGTTGTTTTCTGAATTTACACCGCCAAAAGTTTTTGGGATGTACTGCCCTATGTTCATGTGTCCCAGTCCAATTCGTTCCAAGAACTTGACCCCGTGCTAATAAATGTGTTTTTTTTGGTTATCCTCAAACAAAGAAGGGTATAAATGTTTTCGATCCTCAACCAAGAAATTTCATGTGAGTATGGATGTGTCATTTGCGGAAACAAAATCCTATTCCCCAACACTTCTCTCTCAGGGGAGACAAGTGGAGTAGAAAGACCATTTTTGGGTATTTCTATCCCGTTCCCCAATGTCATTTTCTACACAAAAACCACATCTGTCTGATAATGATCACTTAGGAGAACCAAGTTCTATGGTGCCTAGTCAAAGAGATTATTGTTTGGGGGAGAAAGTACTACAAAAATGATCTAAATTCTGAGCTTTAGGTTTATACTAGGAAGCGATTTCATCTGAGGAATAATGACCCGAATGTCCATCCTAATGACCCGAATGTCCCCACGAGCTCTGGCATCGAAATTTTAGATAATCCTATCCTTCTATTTCCCGACCTTGATGTTCCTATAGCAATAAGGAAGGTGTCCGAAATTGCATTAAACATCCTATTGCAAATTACCTCTCCTATCAAAGACTGTCTAAAAACCATAGAGCTTTCACATCTAGGATTTCACACTTGTTTGTTCCAAGGAATATACAGGAAGCATTGGATAATCCGAATTGGAAATTAGCAGTCATGGAGGAGATGAATGCTTTAAGGAGAAGTGGTACTTGGGAGATAGTTTGATCTACCCAAAGACAAGAAAACAGTGGGTGTAAATGGGTGTTTACGATAAAATGTAACGCAGATGGAAGCGTGAGAGATACAAGGCGAGACTGGTGGCTAAAGGCTTCACTCAAACTTAATGGGATCGACTATCAGGAGACGTTGCTCCTGTTGCTAAAATAAATTCCATCAGAGTACTGTTATCTCTTGCAGTAAATTCAGATTGGCCTCTACATCAACTTGACATTAAAAATGCATTTCTCAATGGTGATCTTGAAGAGGAGGTGTTCATGAGCCTACCGCCGGATTTGAGCAGAGACTTGGAAGCGACAGAGTATGCAGATTGAACAAGTCATTATACGGATTCAAACAATCACCAAGAGCGTGGTTTGAACGCTTTGGAAGGCAGTTATCAGTTGTGGCTTCTCGCAGAGTCAAGCAGATCCACAACAATATTTTATATAAACATTCCAAAAGCAAGTAAAATTGTAATTTTTGATTGTTTATGTTGATGACATCATTTTAACTGGTAATGATGAAGCAGAGTTTAGCAGCCCTCAAAGAGAAACTCGCAAAAGAATTTCACATTAAGGATCTGGGAGCCCTCAAGTATTTCCTCGGAATGGAATTTGCAAGATCCAAGGAAGGTATATTCGTTAATCAGAGAAAATATGTTCTTGATCTCCTTGGAGAAACAGGTAATGCTTGGTTGTAAGATGGTGGAGACTCCGATCGAGCCTAACTTGAAGTTACAAGCTGCTAAGGCTGAAGAAGTCAAGAGAGGGAACAATATCAGCGACTTGTAGGAAAGTTGATTTACTTGTCTCATACGCGGCCTGATATTGCCTTTGCAGTTAGCATGGTAAGTCAGTTTAATGCACTCACCAGGGCAGAGCACTTTGAGCCGTTTATAAGATCTTAAGATATTTGAAAGGAACTCCAGGGAGAGGCTTACTGTTCAAGAACATGGACATCTTCAAGTTGAAGTATACACAGATGCAGACTGGGCAGGAAGTGTTACAGACAGGAGATCAACATCCGGATACTGCTCCTTTGTAGGTGGGAACCTAGTTACATGGCGGAGTAAAAACAGAATGTGGTAGTTAGAAGTAGTGCAGAAGCAGAGTTCAGAGCTGTGTGCCAATGGAATCTGTGAAGTATGTGGATTAAAGAATTCTTGAAGAATTAAAGCTTTCTCACCCGACACCTTGAAGGTCTTTTGACAACAAAGCAGCTATATCTATAGCTCATAATACAGTTCTACATGATCGCACAAAACATATAGAAGTGGATAAACATTTCATGAAGGAGAAAATCAATGTGGCATAATCTGTATGACTACCTTCCAACAGGTGAACAATTAGCTGATGTGCTAACGAAGGGACTACACAGAAGCAATTTGATAAGCTGACTAGCAAGCTGGCTATGGAAGATATCTTCAAACCAGCTTGAGGGGGAGTGCTGGAAATTTGTGTATATAAATAAGATAGTGGCATGTATATATAATATGAAGTGGTGTTGGTGGTAATAGTGCATGTATAGAATATGTATAGTGGTGTTGGTGGCAGATAGTTGCATGTATATAATATGATAGTGGTAGATAGTGGTAATATATAATAATGTAAGTGGCATATAATGGGTTATAATGATGTTTGTAATATCTCCTATATAAGGAGTGTCATTTGTGTTTTGTAAGATAAGAAGTTTTGAATATAAACAGAAATATTATTCCTTCTTCCTCAATATTTTCGGAGTTCTTCTTCCTCTATTTTTCTAAGTGCTTTCAAAAAATCCTCGTAGTCTGATCATTTAATCCTACTTGAGGGGCGTATGCACTAATAACGTTCACTATAATTCCCTCTAATAACTAGTTTAACTAACATAATCCTATCCCCTTTTCTAATGACCACCACTACGTTCTTCACAAGACCCTTGGCAATTATGATTCCTATCACATTTCTGCGTCTATCCTTACCACTATAATACAGTTTAAAATTGGTATCCTCAATTTCCCTAGCTTTCTCACCTGTCCACTTAGTTTCCTGTATGCAAGCTATACTAACTCTCCTCCCAATCAAAACATCTACCAATTCCATCGTCTTACCAGTTAGAGTTCCTATATTCCAAGTGGCTACCCTAAACCTGTAGTCTTGGACTAGTTTTTTTTACCCACGCTCGTCTAGAAAAACGTGGGAACCTTTGTTCATTTTTCAACGCACCCAGGCGCCGATGCGGCGCCCCTTGCTCACTTTTCAAAACACCCGAAGGCAGGCGCAATGCGTCACTTGTATTTATCCTTGCAATTATATTATATTATAATGCTATACAATTCTAAATTCATAAAGATAATACGTGACTTGAAGTATTCGATACTTCAAAATTAATGAAATTAATTAAGAAGTATCCGATACGTATCAGTTAGTATTCAAGGAGTATTAGTATTTGATACGGATACATTGCCTTTTTAAAAGTATCCGTGCTTCATAGATGATATGTATCTACGAGTATCCAAGGAGTATCAATAACTGATACGGATACATTCCCTTTTAAAAGTACCCTTGCTTCATAGGATTTAACCAAATACAAAACAATGGATGTTTCAAAGATCTCACCACCATTGTCTTGTTTATTTCATATGTAACTAATGATATAACTTCATGTGTATCAGTTCATCCTGTTATGCTAAAATTAAACTCTTCAATTCCCCCTACCGTACTTGGCTCCACCTGATATGAGGGGTAAGGATATGGGATTTGTGTCCAACCCCAATATTATGAGCCGATTAGACTTTAACTAGAAGATGCTTCACTTTTTTTCTAAACAAAAAGAATTATACCGTAGTTCTTACTATTTGTCTTGTCTAAAATAAATTTATTTATTTATTATTATTATTTTTTGTTGAGGTTTTGAGATAAATGGATGTCAAACATTCGGTACCCATAAAAAGCGGATGTTGTACTTCTGGCTTGCCTTGATTGTAAAATAGATTCATGGCCTATGTTTTAAGCATTTATTTCTTTTCCAGTAACCTGAAAGTCATATACATAATTTAGGTGCATTCCACTGATGACTTTATGGTAAACACTCTCCATCATGCTGCAGGCTCTTTCAGGTTCGTGGGAAGTTGTATGAGCTACTCACTAATTGCATTCCTCCAGAGATTGTATTAAAGGTCAGGAGAATACCCTTCCTTTTTTGTTTTCCATTTCAATTCTGCTTGGACTTGATGTGTCTCTTTGTACTTGATTTGTAGAGGTTGCTCTTTGAACTACTGAAGAAGTTAGATGCTGAATTAAAGCATGAAGTGTGTCATTGGGCTGCATATTATGTAAGTTCATTGCAATGTTTTAATTTTGCCTCCAAGTCCCCATCCAATGGTTATTCATGCTGTGGTGGCGTTGTACACGTTATGGTTAGATCCAGCTATCTAAAATTGGCATCTGTTATCTCTGCTAACTCAGTGTGCCTTTTGTGCTGCTCGCATGGTTTAAGCACATGTAATTTAGGATTCCTTGATCCCAGCGCAGAACCCTCTTCATCTTACTAGTCTAAAATTAAATCCTATTGTAAAACTTGTCTGTCTTGTTCAGTGTTACCTTGAATGAGACAGTTGTAGTAGCACAGAATTGGAAGAGGAATGTGGAACAACACATTCCCAAAAATGTGGTATGAAATTGAGACTTTCCGAAAGTGTGGTACAATATAGGTTGTCTTGTACTTGTGACATATCTGGAATGCAATAGGCAGTTCAATCGCAATGAATTGAATTTAGCTATAGATGATTCGTGGTGAAAACAATATCATAAAGTGCACTACATTCCAATTCACGAGGAAATTTGTTATACTAGAACAAAGCACGGAATTCAACAGTACTAAGTGTATTCTATACATGAGCTCTTAATGCACCATGACTTTTTCCTTGTTTCTTTTCCATAAGGGGGAAGGGATGGAAGAAAGGAGTTGTTCTCTCGAATGTTAATTTTGTGATGTAGAATTAAATTGTGTAGGGTTTTCAATGTGTGTTCTGGTGTATCAGTGGCTAGGGTTTTATCTGATTTTGAAAACTATTACCTGGTCTATGAAATTCTTTACGTTAAAAAGAAGAAAAAGGAAGAAAAGCCACACACGCACACACACAAAAAAAAAACCCCATAACACACATGAACACAAGAAGGAATGATTGATATTGGCTTGAGAAGGTCATGGTAAGTTTTAACTCTATGAAATTCCCCAGGAGTTCTAAAAAATCTCCATCTAATATAACCTTCAATTTCAGAAGTTTCTCTCAATGGAATGTCTGGTAAAGACCTTCTGCAGTCACCTAAATTGGTTGTCCAAATTGCCCCTTCTGAATTAAGTTTCTATAAGCTTGCTTTGGTCACCGATTTGTTGGTGCAATGCTTACAGATGTAGCTATACCCAGTTGTACTGTGGAGACTGGAGAGATCGCCATCTTTCGCTGCTTAGAGGAACACAGAAAAAATTGTTTGGTTGGTCTTGTTGATAATGTAATACAAAGGGTCATGTTGCCAGAAACAATGGGAGTGAAACAGCAAGTAACTGGAAATAGTTTTGAATTTTAGTACTTGAGTTTTTTTAAATTGGTACTTCTAAATTTAGATTTGGATGGGAAAAATGACAACCATATTTCCAACCCCCCACCCCATCCACTCATTATTGATAAAAAAAAAAAAAAAAAATAGTAAAGATTTAAAAATAGCCTTTTGTAATAATTGAATAGCACTGTTAGCTAATTTTTCGTTTTCATGAATAAGAAGTCTTTTATGCTATGTTTGGTTGGAGAGAGAGATGTCAAGAGGAGAAAATATGGTGTTTTATGAAGAGAGAAGTAACAATTCTTTTATACTAGTCATTTTCCGTTAGTTTGGTTGTGAAGGGGAAAATATGGCGTTTTATTGTACTTTAGCATTGTCTGTCTGTTGTACGTAAGTTTAATTTAAACTTCCTTTCCAAACTTCCATGTATGTGGTGAAGATTTTTCGGGATGAGGTAATTTTTTAAAATATTGGTTTTTCTCTTTCTTTTCTTCTCTCCTACCAAGTCAACCAAACAAGAGAAAATATATATATATATATATATTTCTTTCCAAATAAGGTCACATAACATGTAAAATTTTTTGGCGTGACCTTTTAAATCATGAGGTCGATATCCTATGTGTGTTTATGTTCTGGTCATTAGGCGTTAAAAACTAATTTTCTTCATTTATTATTGATGTTACATAATTGGTAACTATACTTGTGTGGAAGAATAACAGACTGCTCATTGATTCCATATAGGATAGGCATACAGATATTATTTAGCATGACAAGTCTGTTATACTAGACAGTTCTCTTTAAAATTGGCAGGAAGTAAAGAATTCTTGGCAATTTTGAGGATGAAGCCATTTTGTCTGACCATGCAGTTTCTTGTTTTGTCCCAGGAACATAGGATGCGCCTTGGACAGAAAGCTATCTTTCACATTGAAGGTACCTTATAAAATCCTACTGTAATCTTGTCGCACTAAATTTCCTGCATACAAACGTGCATAGTGATTTGTCAATCAGTTTGTTTTATGATTTGCAATTCTTCTGATTTTTTATGGAATATATATTGATATTATGCATGAGAATTTGTTCAAATTGTTACTTACAGAAAGTGAGATTTTGTCCAAACTATATTGAGTTTGCAATATAAGCTGATCTGTGAGCAAAAAATTTAAATCACCTCAGTTGACTTGCACTGTGTCTTCTTAATCTTCTCATCTGTACTTGTACTTGTGAATCACTCAAAAGTTTTGCCAATTGTTTTCATTTTTAGCACATTTATCACGATTTTTCTTTTTGTTAATCTGGAGTTCATCAACACTTATCTTGTGAAGAACTTGGTTTCCATGTGACTCTGTCATCCTAAACAGTTAAATATCTTTCTGGGTATTTTTAATGAACATTTTGTTGGTAATCTGCTTATGGAGTATTTGCTTCTGTAATTAATGGTCAGTCAGGCACTAAAAAGCATGAACACTTCTATGAAGTCAGCATGTCTGTGTCTGTGTCTGTGTCCGTGTTTGACACTCATTTGACATTTTCAACACTTGCTTTAACTTTGTACACCCATGGCCCACCCGACATTTCCAACACTACGAATTTAAATTTGACTCATCATTAGTGGATAGCTAGCTGCACTCATATAATGTCATATTTCTTTGCTTGCTTTGACTTTGTACACTCACTTTGCAAATTATTCCATTTGTGTTTGATATGATTGCTGACAAAAACTGGCATTTCCTTTTGAGCTATATTGGCTAGTTTATGATGGTATATATTTCTCTGTTCAACTTTGCAGCATTTGTAGCCAAGTTCATGAGCATTTATAAGGGTTTCTTGATTGCAACATTTGGTTGAAGTGAATTCTCTACGGGTTTGCTCTTTCTGAGTTGCCTTATGCTTCACATCAGATGCACTAGACTGCTTACAAGATGTCCTCTTGGCCAATTCCTTGTCTTAAATGAATTTCCATTCTGCAGTATAGAGTGGTTGCTTGTTTATGTAAAGACACTGCATTGATGCAGTGAGCAAAAGTCTTTATATTAATGTCATATTTCTTTGCTTGCTTTGACTTTGTACACTTACTTTGCAAATTATTCCATTTGTGTTTGATATGATTGCTGACAAAAACTGGCATTTCCTTTTGAGCTATATTGGCTAGTTTATGATGGTATATTTCTCTGTTCGACTTTGCAGCATTTGTAGCCAAGTTCATGAGCATTTATAAGGGTTTCTTGATTGCAACATTTGGTTGAAGTGAATTCTCTACAGGTTTGCTCTTTCTGAGTTGCCTTATGCTTCACATCAGATGCACTAGACTGCTTACAAGATGTCCTCTTGGCCAATTCCTTGTCTTAAATGAATTTCCATTCTGCAGTATAGAGTGGTTGCTAGTTTATGTAAAGACACTGCATTGATGCAGTGAGCAAAAGTCTTTATATTTTGTTTCCGGTTGACATTGTTGTCCTTAGCTGTATGTTGTCTCTCTTGAGCATACTTTCGTAGCTGGATTTTGATCCTCACCATATTTGAGGGTGCAAAATACATCATCGAAATTCAAAATTTAAGGGGTTTTGTCTAACATTTTAATTTCAAGTTTAAAAATTATGTTCTTACGATTTAAATTTAATTTCAAATGAGGATGGGTTGATGTGGATTTTTCGCAACAATTGATCATAAACTGGAGATTATTTCATGAATGATTTGGAAAGATTTGAATCCCTTGGTATAGTATGTGCTAGTTGAGGAATGTTGAAGGGATCATCTATTTTAAAATTTCTCCTTATCTCCCAATATTATCTCCAGTGTGTTTGAAATATGATCAAACAATATTTTTGTTCATTCTTTTTTGTTTTTTTAATAGATATGTAAATTTTCCTAACTCCTCCAGATTTTGATTTTCAAGTGTTCTTAGTAAATTAGGTGCATAAATAGCTTAATGGGATGCAGCTAACTTTGTTTCGACAATTTATAGCCCCTTGTCATCTCAATGGCGGCCCATAACTTAGTTTGTAATCAATACTAATTTACATCGGAACTTGCATATGATATGCATTATGTAAGGCAATGCCATCTCTAGCTCCCAACATTGTCACCGTTACTGCCGCCATTACTGTTACTATCATTGCTAACATCTTCACTTTTACCTCCACCGTACCGCGACCATTATTACCGTCACTAATGCAACCATAAGTACATAAAGGTCTCATTTATCGATCTAATATTTTAGTTTAAAAGTTAAAAAGTTATTACAAAATTAAAAAAATTAACAACTTATATCAAAAGTCAAAGGTAGCGTTTGATAGAATTTTTTAAATATGATTTGAGAATAGAATTGTATTTGAATTTTTGAGTTTTAAAATTATGATTTGAGTGTGAAAAATTTGTTTGCTGAATAAGTTTTGAAAATAGTTTTAAATTGAATGGGGATTTTTTGATGTGACATGATATTTGATACAAAAACTTACAATTGATTTTTGATGTGACCGGCTAGACGTCTAGGAAGACGATCGGTTAGTTTAAATTTGTCCACTTTGGAAAGTTTTCAAAAGTGGGTGTAGAATTAATTTTTGAAAACGTTAAACAAACAACACTCTCAAAATAAGGGGTGAAAATACAGTTAAAGATTTCCTTTTGTCTCTATTTTTTGCACATCTTTTCGTAAAAATTAAAAAGTCGTTTCAAATATACTAATTTTTTAAACTTCATTTTTTAGTTATAAAATTAAAAATTATTAAAATAATTTGTTCCCAAACAAGACCTAGATTCAAGAATGCAATCAATGGAAAATATTTTTTGGGTAAAGTACACTTTAACCACCTATGGTTTACCCAAAAAATACGGATCCCCTGTAATTTCATTTGTACTACTTAAATCCCTGAACTTTATACCAAAGTGTAATTTCGAACGGACGTAACAGAAATAATAAAAAGTCTAAATTACCATTATTGCTTTCTCTAATTTTCTTCTTAATGCCATTACAAATCAGAACATTCTCTCTCATTTTTCTTTAATTTTTTTTTTGTTATTCTTTTCTTCTTCTTCTTCTTTCTCATCCCATGACAACTTGCACACTTCTTATACCATTATCAAATACATCTCTCTCTAAAATTTAGACCCAAACAAACACTCATATCTCTCTCTTTAGAATTTAGACCTAAACAAACAGTTCATAACTGTAAACACCTACCAAGCTCATCTTATCTCCTCCACTCAGCCAACACCCACTATTGCCTACTTTCTTCTTGCCACTACCCACTATCTCTTCTCTTTCATTTTTTTTCTTTCTTTTTTGCCATGGCTGTTGAATATATATATATGTATGTATTTATATATTCGTGAGTTGTGTGGGGTCTTTTTCTTGCTTAATTTGGCTAGGATAGCCATGGTAGCTTTTATGTTAAAAAAGAAGAAGAAAGAAGAAGTGAAAAAGAAAAGAAGGAAAGAACAGAGACTGTTGCTAATGTAGCCAAAGAAAGAATTGATCGGTAGTTTCAATTATACATTTATATGATATATATATATATATACATATTAACTGATATATATGTATGTGTGTGCATGGCTTTAATTTGAAAAAATATTTTGATTATGATCTACAAAATAGAGTGGGTATGTGTGTTGAAATTGAAAAATCTTTTTGGGTTTATTCTTTTAGCTGAAAGAAGAGGAATTGGTTGTGAGCTAGTGGGAGAGAAAAAAGAAAAAAAGGAAAAGAAAAAGTGATATTGTGATTAACTTTAATTTCTGGGTTAACTTTATTTGAGTTAAGAAAATGATAGATATATAGATTTTAGAAGAATAATGAAACAAAAATGAAAGGGAAAGATGGAGAAATGAGGGAAATGAGCTAGAGAGAGAGGGAAGCATTTTAGAGAGAGAACCAAAGTTTTTGGTTTTCAAAAAAATTGAGAAGAAGAAGTTAAGGAATTATCCAGTGTAGTTGAGGAGGGGAAATTTTGGTTTTATGGTCGTGCAATACACGCTCTGTTAAAACAAACGGTTTTGTCCGAAATTGCACTTTGGTATGAAATTCAGGGGACTTACATGTTACAAATGAAACTATACGGGACTCCATATTTTTTGAGTAAACTACAGGGGATTAAAGTGTAATTTACCCATATTTTTTTGAAATTTTTTTTTATAAAAAATATTTTTCGCCAAAATGAATGGAGCGGTAATCGTAATACTATCCTCACTAAATAGAGGAAGAAAAAGAAAGAGAAAAAAAGAAAGAAAGAAAGAAAGAAAGAAAGAATATGGGAATGTAAAGAGATGTGTGATGTTTGGGTGGGAGTAGGTCTAGGATGTTGTGTAAAAAGATTAAGGGGTTGTTTGGGAAGTGTTAGATTAATATATATATATATATATATTTATTTTTTTTATGAAAGAACGTAAAACTTGAGTTGCAGTTAAAATGATGTAATAAAGAAATAATGTGATAGAAAATGATGTAACTAAAATAAAAAATTATGTGACCCAAACAAATCCTAAATTAATTTTAAAATTTTCAGAAGTTACAAAAAAGAAAAAGAAAAGAAACAAGAGGGGCGTAACAAGAAACAAAAAAAGGAGTTAGATTTGCAGTATGAGCAGAGGTATAGAAGCTCTAAGGCCTTGTTTGTTATCCGGATATAAAGGTCGAATTTAAGTATAAGATCGAATATAATATGAAATAGGTTTCATAATTTTTTTTTTAATCTTTTTATATCTCTTGTTTGATTACTCCGGATATAAAGAGTTCAGATGATATACGATGAAATTAGATTTGTAATATCACCCCAATAATATTGTATATATTGCACCGTCAGATATAACTCATATTTTATTTAAAGGTGAAAAATAATCATTTTTCTCTTATCTCATTATCTATCCTATCTTAACCAAACATAATATAAATAACATCACAGTATATATAATTAATTTCATATCCTACAATATATTATATCACATCTTCATCCTTAAATATTATACACCATCCTAAAATTTTTGTATCCAACGCAAACTATCAAACTGGCCTAAATACATTTTGAAGTCTTTTGAAAAGGGGGACACAATTTGACCATTTAACTATTTATCAAAAAAAAAAAAAAAAAAAAATTTAACATTTTACCCATTTTTAATCACATCACCGATTACATTTTTTTTTCTCATTAAAAAGACAAAATAGACTCAAAAAATTCAAAAAATTCCCAAAACAATACTCCACCTTCACCCTCATCCGATAATTGTTGCAGTTAAATTTGTTCCTGATGTTTGTATTTTTTTTTTTAAAAAATTTTAAAGACGTCGCACACGTCCCTCTAGTTGTATCTCTCATCACGCAGTCACGAAGCACTCTCGCTCCTCTCCAATGGCGACTGCAGAGGAACAAGAATCCAAAGTCAATCCTCCCATCCCAGCAGCAGACCCTCCAAACCCCTCTCTACTTGTAAAATTCTCTCTCACATTTCTTTACAAAATCCCAATCTTCATAAATCTATATCGCTCTATTGCTTCACTTCTATTTTTCGAATACATTCTTTATTTTTATACAACCATTGTGAAATTTAGTTCTCTATTTGTTTTCATTTTGATCCCCAATCAAAATTGATTCAAAAATTTTGATTCCAATTGTTCATGTATGGAGCAGATTGTGGAGGTTATTTGCAAAAGTTCAGGGAAAACTAGGCGGTTTGCGGCCGGCACGGAGGCTGGTTTTGCAGTTTCTTTGATAAACAAGAAGCTTGATGGTGGGCCGATGGCATTGCATATTGAAGCAGTGAAAGAAGGTGAAGAGCCTGTGAGCTTTGGCCCCAATTCTGTTCTTGTGGAATATGGTGATGGTTGGAAGTTACAAACAGTAACTCAAGTAGAAGGTGGTTGTCCTTGAAATTTCCATTGGTTCATATTAGATTTATTATTGGTGCATATAATTGAATTAGTTGTTGGAAATTTTTGTTTTTCTTTTTTGGTGCTGACCTGGTGTTCAATTTTCTTGGAGTAGGTATTTGGAAAGCTGAATCCAATCGCGCAACAACTGGACACATCCGATCTGCAATGGTATGAACTTTTGCTAATTCTCTGTTCTAAATTTTGTTTTCCTTGAACAAGGTTGTACTAGGAAACTAAAGATAAGCAATGAGGTAACTGGTGAATTGTGATATACCCATATGAGATTGAGCTATTTCAAGGAAAGGTAAACTGTATGATAGTTGTTTATTGTTATTCATAGGAACCCTAAATGTTTGTTCCGAAAGAAAGACGTAATAAAATTTTGGAGCAACAAAGCGCAACAGATTTGGGTGAGGGAGGAAGGGGATGAGGGTAATGAGGTAATTTTATTTTTCTGGGCAAGCCTGTTAAAAGGCAAACTCTTACAGAGGGAATCAATAATTTCTCAAATCAAAGGCAATCCGTATTTGGGAATTCTATTGGGTGGGTTTATGGAGGTTATCGGCATGGTTGGAAGGGGTTCTCTAAAGCTCATTGCATACATCTTGTCATCTTCAAATCATGTTTTAATGGAAGTCTTTTTGTGCACTAGGTCATTACAGTGTTATTAAAGGCAATAGGCACACTAAAGCACCAAGGTATGGCTCGTGTTGATGATAAAAAATAGATAATTTAATATAAACAAATAATTCATGGTTCAACATAACTAAAATGAAATATTAAATATTTTACAACATAAATACCAACAAATACTAATATTTTATTATAGACAAATAACTCAAGGTTCATATAAATACAAACATCTAACTCATAAATCATATACATTTTAAAATAGCAACAAAATCGAAGTATCGAACAAGATAAGAGTAGAGAAGGAGAAGTAGAAGGAGATTGAGGAGATGAAGAAGAAGAATAACAACGGTTAGTCTGGTCGAAGAAAAAGATCTATCCAACTAACGTTTTTATATAATTAAGACTCAAAAAGTGTTGGGTTGCAATGTATGTTTAGGGGTTTAATCCCTTATAGCCACGTGTAAACAAAAAAACAATGAGATTTGGTGAAATCAAGAGTTGTAATTATAATAAACAAACATTTTAAAAGAAGTGCATAAGTTGTGCGCTTTGAGCCTAAGCCTAAAGTGCACGCTTCATGCGCCTTTATGGGACGTATTTTAGATTGCTTGGCCTGAGATGTTCGGAAGCGCATTGACTGCGCCCTGATGAGCCTTGGTGCACGCTTAGGCGCCCCTTTAATGACATTGGGTCGCGTTAGGGCTGTTCACCGGTCAGTCAGACCGGGTTTATATCTGGAACCGCAACTCGAACTGATTCTTTTGGGTTGGAGATTTCACTAACCATCACTGACCAACTTTCTGTTTGAAGCTGACCGTCTTTCTCATTCGGTTGGCAGACGGGTTTTGGACGGTTTGAGTAATTGGTAGTCCTTCATCCCTTCCCGTTTGAACTCTAGCATATACATACATATTTGTAAATATATATTTACATACATAGATTTCTGACAGGAGACTAGTGTAGATAAAAAATACAAGAGATGAGAGGAGATTTGTTACCGATCATAGATTGTATACATATATTTGTGATCTATGATATTTGCTCAAAGCCTCCTCCGCCATCGCTGGAAAAGGGAATGGAGGGAGAGATAGAAGGTTTGATTAAGATTTGTGAATGTGTGTCTAAGGTTTCAGAAAGAAGATGAAGACAAATCAATAGAGCGAGCGAGAGAGACGAAACCAGTAAAGAGAGATATAGATGAAGATGAAAAGGAAAAAGTGAATTAATTATGTCATCTCATATTTCTGAATATGAGAGAGAGAGAGAGAGAGAGAGAGAGAGAGAGAGGGAGAGAGAGATGAAAATGGAAAGGCAAAAGTGAATTAATTATGTTATCTGAGATTCCCAAATATAGGACGAGATAGATGTGGTAGGCCAAAAGTTATCATGAGACTTCACATGAATGTCCTCCACAAGCACAAACCATACGACGCCACATGAAAATATATTCATAATGTGTCAGTGGATCGGTCTGTTCAAGTACAACGTTTTTGGCAGTGTGGGAAGCGAAATCCAAACCAAAACTCGAAAAATTATTATTTTCAGATCTGTAGCCAACCGACTGTGCATTTGAAACTGATTACAAGTCACACAAGTCAGTCAGTTCAGTCGGTTACTTCGGTTCGGATCCTTGTGCAGCCCTACTAGGTTGCCCCTTTATATACTTACATGTAGCTATGCACATATATACATACACACATCTCCGTTTCTCTTTCCTCGCTATCTCTCTCTCTCACATTCATCTACCACCTCCTCTCTTCTCAGCTAAATTATTTTTCCCCTAACAAAAATAAAGGAAAAAGCGATTCCTAGTTGCCCCAATTTGCATCAGTTAAATGTTTGGGGAGCTTTACCCATAAATTAGACAGAGGAACTTGACGACTGGGGTATGGAGGGGTTTGCCTATGAGGGAGATGAAGGAGATTAAGGAAGAGGGGGTTTTGATGAGGGAAGAGTAGGTGTGGGTTGTAGGGTGGGGCTTGATAGGCAAGATGTGAGTGCTTAGGGATAAGTTATCGGGTAGGTGCGGTCTATCATGTGGTTGTGTGCTTGTTTAATAGTAAAGGGACATTTGATCATCTTGTTTGGTAAATAATGATAGAGTGTTCACGTTTTCTTCTATTATTGGAGTGGACACTAATTGTCTTGTAGGCCGAACTTAGTAGATAATTTTTTCATGGAAGAGGAGTTTAGTCTTTTGGGGTTGACCAAGATTAATGCTTCTATATCTCTAGTGTTGACCTATCAAGACGAGAAACAATTGATCTGTAATCACCCTCTACCACCATATCATACAGTTTGGGGGCCAATGCATCAAACAAGCCTCCCATATAGTTATAGGCAATGCTGCTTCAGCTTTGAGAAGTTGACTCTACTTCCCCTGCAGGTTTTGTTAATCTGCCCCACCTACAAATAATCTTGCTTAGTACAACACAGCTTCTTGCTTTCCATTCATGTAGTATGTACTTGAGAGGAAATGATAAGTCTAGCTCTGTGTGTGTGCATGCGTGCGTGTGTGTGGGGGAGAGAGAGAGAGAGAGAATGGCAAATTGTTATATTAACAAAGAAAATTATCATTTATGTGCCAATTTTGTCTGTCTATATAGAAATGATCATGATGGCCCTTTCTTTGGAGAAAATGGGGTGGCATTTGCTTTTATTCCCCCACTCTCATACCGTAATTGCTGTTTCAAAGGCTATAGTGCCAATGGTTGTTGTTGCAAGTGTGAGATGGATAGACTCTATTGATACAAATTATATATACATATATATATATATATATATAAATACCTTAGGGTTTGTTTGGTTGTGTTCTCATTCTGTTTTCTTTTTCTTTTCTGGAAAACACTGATAAATTGTCCAAATTGAAACCATTTTTATCATAATCTTTGTAGTCTTGTTATTCCATAGAGTGCCGGCCTTGTGAATGATTGATATTGGTTATGATTAAAGATTTTATAAAAAAATTCTAGAAGAATCTGAAGCAAAAGCATAATGCATAGTCATACACAGAACTGCCCTTTATAGGCCTTGTTATTTTTTTTGTTCAAATTGCTTTTTAAAAACATTAAAATCATTTGCTAATATACTTATACAATTCATACAAATAGACAGGACAGAGAAACATCAAAATTGCTGATCTGCAAGGGCACCAAAATAAATAAATAAAATAAAAATTGTTAATCTGCAAGGGCACCAAAAACCTAAACAAACAAAAAAAAAAAAAAAAAAAGAGGTCCCAGTGTACTCACGGCGTACCCGAATAAACCAAACGTACCGGACCCGCTTTTGTCGTACTCGGTATGCGTGCAGTCGCACCCAATAAATACCCGGTACTTGTACGACACTATTACCAACAAATACTAATATTTTATTATAGACAAATAACTCAAGGTTCATCTAAATACAAGCATCTAACTCATAAATCATATACATTTTAAAATAGCAACAAAAACGAAGTGTCGAACAAGATAAGAACAGAGAAGGAGAAGTAGAAGGAGAAGGAGATTGAGGAGATGAAGAAGTAGAGTAACAACTGTTAGTCTAGTCGAAGAAAAAGCTATATCCAACTAAATTTTTTTATATAATTAAGGCTCAAAAAGTGTTGGGTTGCAATGTATGTTTAGGGGTTTAATCCCTTCTAGCCACGTGTAAACAAAAAAAACAATGAGATTAGGTGAAATCAAGAGTTGTAATTATAATAAACAAACATTTTAAAAGAAGTGCATAAGTCGTGCGCTTTGAGCCTAAGCCTAACGCGCACGCTTCATGCACCTTTATGGGACCTATTTTACATCGCTTGGCCTGAGATGCTCAGAAGCGCATTGACTGTGCCTTGATGAGCCTTGGCGCACGCTTAGGCGCCCCTTTAATACCTATTGGGTCGCGTTAGGGCTGTTCACTGGTCAGTCGGACTGGGTTTATAGGTGGAACCACAACTCGAACTGATTCTTTTGGGTTGGAGATTTCACTAACCGTCGCTGACCAACTTTCTGTTTGAAGCTGATTGTCTTACTCATTCGGTTGGTGGATGGGTTTTGGCCGATTTGAATAATTGGTTGTCCTTCATCCCTTCCCGTTTAAACTCTAGCATATACATACATATTTGTAAATATATATTTACATATACATATTTCTGGCAGGAGACTAGAGTAGATAAAAAATACAAAAGTTGAGAGAAGGAGATTTGTTACTGATCATAGATTATAGACATATATTTGTGATCTATGATATTTGCTCAAAGCCTCCTCCGCCATCGCTGGAGAAGGGAATGGAGGGAGAGATAGAAGGTTTGATTAAGATTTGTGAATGTGTGTCTAAGGTTTCAGAAAGAAGATGAAGACAAATCAATAGAGAAAGCGAGAGAGACGAAACCAGTAAAGAGAGATATAGATGAAGATGAAATGGCAAAAGTGAATTATTATGTCATCTCATATTTCCGAATATGAGAGAGAGAGATATATATGAAAATGGAAAGGCAAAAGTGAATTAATTATGTTATCTGAGATTCCTAAATATAGGATGAGATAGATATGGTAGGCCAAAAGTTATCACGAAACTTCACATGAATGTCCTCCACAAGCACAAACCATATGACGCCGCATGGAAATATATTCTTAATGTGTCAGGGGATCGGTCTGTTCGAGTACAACGTTTTTGCCAGTGTGGGAAGCGAAATCCAAACCAAAACTCAAAAAATTATTATTTTCAGATCTGTAGCGGACCGACTGTGCATTTGAAACTGACTACAAGTCACACAAGACAGTCGGTTCGGTCAGTTACTTCGGTTCGGATCCTTGTGCAGCTCTACTAGGTTGCCCCTATATATATGTACATGTAGCTATGCACATATGTACATACACACATCTCCGTTTCTCTTTCCTCGCCATCTCTCTCTCTCTCTCTCTCTCTCTCTCACACACACACACACACATTCATCTATCACCTCCTCTCTTCTCAGCTAAATTATTTTTCTCCTAACAAAAATAAAGGAAAAGCGATTCCTAGTTGCCCCAATTTGCATCAGTTAAATGTTTGGGAGCTTTACCCATAAATTAGACACAGGAACTTGACGACTGGGGTATGAAGGGGTTTGCCTATGAGGGAGGTGAAGGAGATTAAGGAAGAGGGTGTTTTGATGAGGGAAGAGTAAGTGTGGGTTGTAGGGTGGGGCTTGATAGGCAAGCATGTGAGTGCTTAGGGATAAGTTATCAGGTAGGTGTGGTCTATCATGTGGTTGTGTGCTTGTTTAATAGTAAAGGGACATTTGATCATCTTGTTTGGTAAATAAAGATAAAGTGGTCACGTTTTCTTCTATTATTGGAGTGGACACTAATTGTCTTGAAGGCCGAACTTAGTGGATAATTTTTTCATGGAAGAGGAGTTTAGTCTTTTGGGGTTGACCAAGATTAAAGCTTCTATATCTTTAGTGTTGACCTATCAAGAGGAGAAATAATTGATCTGTAATCACACTCTACCACCACATCATACAGTTTGGGGGCCAATGCATCAAACAAGCCTCCCATATAGTTATAGGCAATGCTGCTTCAGCTTTGAGAAGTTGACTCTACTTCCCTGGTTTTGTTAATCTGCCCCACCTACAAATAATCTTGCTTAGTACAACACAGCTTCTTGCTTTCCATTCATGTAGTACGTACTTGAGAGGAAATGATAAGTCTAGCTTTGTGTGTGTATGCGTGCGTGCCTGTGTGTGGGAGAGAGAGAGAATGGCAAATTGTTATGTTAACAATGAAAATAATGATTTATGTGCTTGCCAATTTTGTCTGTCTATATGGAAATGATTATGATGGCCCTTTCTTTGGAGAAGATAGGGAGGCATATGCCTTTGTTCCCCCGCTCTCATACTGTAATTGCTTTGTCAAAGGCTATAGTGCCAATGGTGGTTGTTGCAAGTGTGAGATGGATAGATTCTATTGATAAAAATTATGTATACATATATATATACCTGAGGGTTTGTTTGGTTGTGTTCTCATTCTGTTTTTTTTTTCTTTTTCTGGAAAACACTGACAAATTGTCCAAATTGAAACCATTTTTATCATAATCTTTGTAGTCTTGTTATTCCTGAGTGACGGCCTTGTGAATGATTGATATTGAAAAGTTTACATACTCTTCATGTGTTCGTTGTCAATTTGCAGATTTCCGATGCCTCACATCATATGAAGGAGAGGTCGTCAAAACCGATTAGTTTGTGGTATATCGGGAAGATATTGCTCGCTTTTGTTTTTATTTTTGTTATGGGTGCAATATTTTCATTAGCTTTGGAGAATCTTCCAAGGCTAATCTTGTTTATTAACTCTTCCATGTAATTTTTGTACTTGTACAACAGAGCTGGTCTTCTGTTAAATTAAGGATCTGATAACAGAATGTTTTTATTTTATTTTATTTTAATTTTTAATGTTTGCCAATGTGTATATGATGGAGAGCTTTAGGGAAGAACTGTGCTGTATTACTTTTGAAAATCATAATTGCATATAATCTCTCTTTTGTTAATGCTGTATGAAGCAAGGGCTTGGGGTTGGAGCATTTTCAATATGATATATTTATTTATGTTGTGTTTAGATTTTAAATTTGAGGATTTGTGAAAGGAAAGGAAAATGAGTGGGAAAAGTGAATTCTAGTTTCCATTGCATTCATTTAATTCAAGATATATACCCACCTTTCATGTATTTGTTCTATGAGAAATGTAACACGAACAGGGCGTTAAAAAGCTATTTTTTTCACCTTTATTGAGGTAGTTTGCCTCTTCTTTTGTTGGAATGCACCTAAAAGCTCAACATGATGCTTGTATCTAGGTCATAAATGTTGATCCACACGGTGATATGGATTTCACCTTAAAAGAAATAGAATAGGCAATTTAGTAGTCCTCTTAATGTGTCATTGGTGAGTAATCGTACAAATAAATTCAATTTTCAGTATGTTGTAGCCATAATTTTTTTTTTACATCACATGTATTTAAACCCTTATATGCTTTTCATGAAATAAATTCTTATAGGCAAGAGTGTAGAGAAATTTTCTTGAAAAAAACATGTAGAGAAATTTTGTGGATGCATTTAGCGCCTGCATTAACTAATGTAATACCTTCAATCCCAACTATAGTTGGATCCGAATGCATAATTTTAACAAATTTATCTAGTAGCATTTAGAAAAACAGACCTTAACAACCGCCGATCCACTTCAGTTATAACAGAAGGTGGACTAAGTGCAGCATTCAGTCATGCAAATCAAGTCCGACAATGGCCATTCAATAGAAGACGACAATCATTCAACGAAAACATTGCTTAAATTGCGAAATATTTACAAATGTTCGCAAAGATTTCTTTGCCAATGATGAAATATATATATAACACATACTATACACATAAATGACTGACCTAACTCACCACTCCTTCCTGCCACATAATTTACAACAAGAATATTTTTTTCTTATTTTCATTCCTTTCTTCTCCCTCCTCCCCTTTTCACATACTTTCACAAATAGAATTACAAAATTAAACAGGCAAAGCAAGCAAAAAAATAAAATTTCAAGCGCATAACAGGTCTCTTCGACAAGACCAGATAACCAAGAGCCTTCGTGTTGGATACCAAAAGATGAACCCTATTATACCAACTAAGGTAGAGAGTTCTCAGAGCTCCGATATATTTCCTCCACGTGTGTGGCAGGCACATAGACTGCATCTTTTAATGAGCTGTGGGTACGGCCATAGAAAGCGTAAACCAGCACTCCTATTAACAGCCATATTGACACACGGGTCCAAGTGGCAGATCTGCGTGTTCACATAGGAAAACATAATATATGAGAAATAGGAATGAAATGTCTATTTTAATAAAATTAGCAGCACCCTGTAAAATTTACAGAAATCTCAATCATAAAAGGTCAGCAATACAATTGAGTGCTGTCATACAGGTTAGCATTTGTATAATGTGAGAGCTGAAAGCACAGGAAACAAGCTAGTTTCCAAAAAACAACCCTCCTCATTAATAAAAACAAACCGATTTTTTCATTTTTTAGATAATAGTTTAACTAGTTACATTATCAAAAACAAATAAGTAAATGAAGTGACCAACATTGTCAATCTTCTTACAGTGAGAATGTGTTAATTTCTAGGACAGTCACCAGATATTTACCTTTCTACCAAATAGAACCCTAACATTCTGATTATGAAGTAAACCACATAAAGGAAGTGAATAAATAAAATAAAATAAACGGGAAAAAAAATTAATGGCAGACAGGCGGAGCACTCACCCAAGATTAATCAGTAAGTAGACATTGATGAGAACGCAGGCAATGGGGAGGAGCGGAACGAACGGGCAAATGAAACCTGAACAGAGATCAATAGTTCACTTAGGACTTGGGCTTAATTGTTGCACCACTGTTTATCATATTACCATGCAAAATCAACTATAAATGGACAAATCATGGGCAACATGAATTAGTAGAAAGAGATGGGATGGACAAGCCCACATATAAACTCGGCCCCAAAAGAGAACATTAGATGGTTTGCATTGGTTCAGACCAATAATTTGAGCAACAATGCCAGAAACTCAACCGCACACAGAAAGTACATGAATGCACAAGATTTCACAATATTTGTTTGTGGGGCACACTTCTCAAAAATCCTATACATCAATTTGTTTTTTGTGTCCGATTTTGTGTTTGTTTTGTGTGTTTCTAAACTTATTGCAATTTGAGTGTAAAAAGCTGGTGCACAGCCTCCTCATCGTGAAGATCGTAAGCGTGTGTTTAAATAAGAGAGCATACCTCCTGTGTGCCCAAAGCTGTGCCTTGCGTCATCTTGATCTATACAGGTGAGCACTACCAAACCAGATAAAATAAGAACAACACCAATTCCACATACACCAAACCGAAAATAGCTGGAAATCAAATCAATTAGTTAGTAAACAGTATATAATAACATTCATTAAAATGAGCTTTAGAAGAAAATAACTCTCTTGGGCTATAAATGCATGGCACTAAAACATGTTTTAATATTTAGTTGTCCAAAATAAAAATCATTACAAACATGTTTTCAAATTCAGTCAGAGGGAAGTGAAACCCTTAATAATGCAGGTCGCATTTTCTTTGTATTCCTAAACCAATGTTTAGTATGCTACCAAAGGCAAATATCTTTATATATATATACTGATAATCAGAAACTGTGAAAACCCACCTAGGGAGGAGGCCCACACTTGAAGCTGCAGATGTAAGGAGAAGCACTCCAACACATGTAAACATTATAGTCCAACCAGCAATTTTCCGCCTGTTATCATTTAGTATCGCTGCAACAATCGATATGAAAAATGAAAGTAACTAATTTAGTCCCCCATACAGTGATCCAGAAAACATACACGGAAAATCTATGTGAGGCTATACTCAGATTTTTAAAATGAGTACTTCACTCATATCAACATTCAAGAGGTCATCTAACATGAAAACTAGCAAACAATAAGTGACAGACCTACCAAAAAACACAAAGTGAAGAAAGAACTTACTGGCTGCTTGTTTCGGAATGAGAGGATATGCAATTGGTCTGTCCACCTTACCAAGTAAAAGTCGAGTGCTCTGTGTAGAGCTTCCAATATGATCTTTAGGTTTTTCCTCTTCAATATTGTCATTACTAGTACTATACCGCAGGGACACTGAATCTATGGACTCCTGGAGTGATGATGGAATTGGCACCTCATCCGGTGGGACATATCTAAGTATCAGTACAGAAATTGCTACCATTGTGAATGCAAGAAGTGTCCCTACACTGACCTGCGTGAACAGTCCCATCTAAATTTAGTAATCCATTGGATTTTAACAAACTGAAATGCTCCTTCATTCATTAAACTTTCATTTTGTTATTCACTAAACTTGGCATGTGTTTGAGAACGAAGAAAAATGAGTCAGAAGGTCCAATGCCCCACTCTTGTGTTGGGTCAACGTAGGTTCATTTTTCAAAAATAAGAGCCCTTGGCAGAGAGAGACAGAAAGAGCATCAAAACAGTACACCAAGATAAGGGCTATTCAGTTGGATTAATTGTTCCACTTCCGTCGCTGCTATACAATACCTCTATGTTACCTAGAACGTGGATTGTTCTGATACGAAAAACGGGAGCGGGAACGGGAACGTGGCACACCACAAGCTTTAAAATGTGGTACGATAGGAGTAGACTCCTTAATTTGACATCCAATATATTAGGGTATTTTTCTTCAAATTAATCGTTCAACTATGCAGTTTTATGAACATTATGACCAATTGTTTTATATTTTGTCAATCCAAAACTCCACTGCATCTAGATTTTAGTTCATTGTATTTTATTTTTCCCTATTAAGGAGAACTTTCAATGAAAAACATTGAAATATTTGTGGGATCGCTTTGAATCGCTAAATTTACTGTTTTGGAACAAAAGTATAACATATTTTGGAATGTTCGTTCCAAAATATAAATTGCTAGTGTTAACGTTTTATGGTAACACTGATCCACCTAACCTGAAGAATCTTTGGGAGTCTTGAAGAGCCACCCAATACAAATGGCCTGAAGGTTGGAACTCCGGTGTTATCTATTTGTTAGAACAAACACTGTGAAGATATTTCTCAGACATGGTTATAATAATACTAATGATAAAATTTTATTCACTGTGTTTGGTTTGAATTTTCTGGATTAAGTTTTCTGAAAACTGAGTTTTTTGATTTTCGTGTTTTTTTGTTTTTAGTGAATATTTTTAAAATTTTAAATATTTTTTTTACTTTTTTAGATGCACCTTACTTAGATGTGTCTAAAAAGTAAAAAAATTGTGAAAAAATATTTTAAAAAAATTAATAAATACATAAAAATACAAAAAATGTACTGAATTCTTGTATTTTTTTTTGTATTTTTGGTATTTAGTGAATTTTTAAAAGATTTTTTTTATAATTTTTTTACTTTTTAGGTGTATTTATGTTAGGTGTGTCTAAAAAGTAAAAAATTTGCATAAAATATTAAAAAAATTCAGTAAAAACAAAAAAATACGGAAAATAAGAATGTAGAATTTTCTGAAAACTATTTTTAAAAAATGGGAACCAAGCAAAGTGATTATTATTTGTGGTTAGGTACATGGTAATCTATAAAGAATGGGTATTTCGATAAACATGCCGTACCTGTATCGAATACTAGTACTTTGCATGATACTTTTGCATACTTACTGATTACACGGAACACCTACACAAATTTTTTGTACTTAATTTTTGGTGTACCGCAAAAGTATCTATAGGGATGGGAAAATGCCCTGATCCGCCAGGTCCCTGAATCCCTCCGCCCTTAATGGGGCTTGGGGGTGGTTGAATAGGTTAGGGTCGGATTTAGGAAAACTTTTGAATAACTTGATTGGGTTCGGGTCGAGGGCGGGGGAGAGTATTTTTTTAACCGAAACCTTCCTGACCCGCAAATATAATAACAAATAAATAATAATATTACATATATATGTAATATGTGCATAATATATTGTTGAATTTTTATAGAATATATCTAATATCTATTGAGTTTTTATTATGTTATATATATAATATAATTTTAATATATGTACAATATATAATATATATATTTTTTAATTATAAATAGTATTTTCTAGTTTTAATTATTAAATTTTAATATTATTTTTAAATTTCCTATCGTGTTGATCGGATAGAGTCAGGGATGGAGGTTATATTTGTGGATTTGGGTGGGGGTGCCTCTCGACCCATACGAACTTGGGTATATACTAGGTTAACGGGTAGGGCCAAGTTGTACCTCAACCAAAATAACATTTTATTCTATATAGAGGTGCAGTTAGTTTTAACAGACTTTTGTTATGCTTAACATAATTTTAAAATTAAACTTAAGTTTGTAAGTTATTTAATATAATGACATCTATTTTTTCTTTATTTAGATTTTAACCAACTGAACCATTTAAAGATTACTCCAAATGAACCATTTTTTCTAATCTTTGCATTACTCCAAATGAAAAATAAATATTTTTTTTACGAACATGCCAAACTGTACACCAACTGTACTTTTGAAAGATTTTACCGTATCATCGTACTTGTACAATACCCGTACCGTACCCATACCCGTACATGTGCTACATAGTTGCGACTAACAAAGGGCTCAGTTTCTAGTATGGAAGGCCCATTGAACTTATTTCAAATAGACATGACAAAGGTAATCAACTTTAGAAGCAAGCTAGTACAAGATCATACTGATCCATAATTAAAACATACCATTCCTGCCAACTGTTCTACGTCCATAATGAATGCCAAGATTGCTGCAACTACACCAGTAATTACTGTGCTCTTGATAGGAACTTGGGTTCGTTTATTAACATCTGAAAAAATTGAGGGCAGCAATCCATCTCTTGACATTGCCATCAGTATCCGTGGCTGTGGAATAAAGAGAGATTAGTGATTTCCGTATATCAGTAGGTACAAAGGAAGATCCCATATTGAAGTAAGTGTAACAAATTGAAAAAAAAAAAAAAAAAATAGCCAACACAAATTCACTTCCATCCATTAGGCTGGTAAAAGCAAATTGAATTATCTACCCTTACCAGAGCCCCATACTAAAATGGGCGTACATTAGGATGCTAAAAGCAAATTAAATTTTCATCTAACAAAAAAAAGATTGTGGCACTTCATAAAGGTCAGTTACTTAGAAAGACTATTTTGCATTCATTTCTTTCAATCTCAATTAACCATCGTGTCTTTCTTCTCCCACCCCTTCCTCCCAATGCTCTTTGTAGGGCCTGGCATTTGGCATATAAGAAAACAATTAAGCTGAATGCACTAACTAGTACAAAACCAAGGTGGTAAAATGACCACTACTAGAAGGAATTCCATGGCCACACGTCCCAGTCCTACCTCTTTGAAGGAAATAACCATTAGAAAAAACCAAATGACATCAGGACATAATGTGCAAATTGAGGATTCTGTTCATCAATGGCCAGTTGAGAGAGAGAGAGAGAGAGAGTTTGGATCATAGTGAAAAGGTGAGGCAAATGTTAATGAAAGGAAAATGTTAATGAAATATAAGCTAAATTTGAACGGAAAAAAAGAAGTGAAAAGTGAGGCAAATGTTAATGAAATATAAGCTAAATTTTTTCTCCATTTTCTTTGCCCTTTTTAAATCCCTATCTGAATCTATGATCAAAACACAACATAAAGAGTTCAACATAATAATTGGACATGCAGCCTTGCTAAATGCTAACTGATCCAGCATGCTAGCTAGAACATAGTTTAGTTTCCCTTCTTGGCTATTTCCTTTCCTAGAGACACTTCACCTAAGCAAAATCAAACCAATAGAGAGCAACACCAATAGGGTCAGAACAGACAAAAATACCCATGGATGTTATAAATGCATTACCTAACAGATTTTTGTACAAAAGCACCAAAACACTAACCAGTATGGATTGATTCTTACCCTAAAGTTGTACCATTACTAGTTTAAAGGATAATTGCCATTGAGATAGGAAATGTAGCATTCTTGGACCCAATGATATCATGGACAAATTTCTTAATGTACGAAACAATCACATAATTCAGATCAGTAATGACAGCAGTCCACATATTAACCAAACAGAAATAGGGATGCCGAGTAAAATTTAATGATTCCACTATTAAGTTAACACTAACCATCCCAGTTATTTACCTGAGGCAACATTGAACCCATTAATGTCGAGCAGAGAGCAGTAGTAGCTCCAGCAGTTATAATATACCTGCAATCGAAAGCGAGGGCAAATGGAAAAAGGAATTAGTTTTGATGCCATAAAGGATATGGAAAAAACCACATGTAAAAAAAATTTGATACAAAATATGTGCTTACGCTGCCCATTGCATCCCATGGCTAGCAAATGCAGAAGAAATGGGAGTATCAGGATCCATTGCATAATAGGGTACTAGACCAACAATGACTACGGAAACCAGCATATACAACATACAACATATAGATAGTGCAGCTGCTATACCCAAGGGCAAATCTCGTTGAGGATTCTTCACCTGTCAAGATAAGAAAAAAATGATTGCAAAGTTTTATATTCCATCAAGTCGAAACAATCTGTATAAATACAAACTTGTAGCTTGGATATTGATTTACTAGAAGACCTAAGCACACTAACGTGTGCAATTGAATTACTCCTGGAGATTGTAGGAGAGAGTGGAGAGAGTGAGGGGAACTGAACATAGCAGTTTTTGTTGGTTACTTTTGCATTTTAAAATTTAAAATATTTAGAGAAAATCTAGTATTATTGGGGTTATTATCGGAAATCAAAATTATGTGACATATTTCACACCAACTGAGTTGTGTGCTTTATACAATAGAATAGATACCTCCTCTGCAGTACTGGCCACTGAATCAAAACCAATGTATGCAAAGAAGACTGTTGCAGCCCCAGCAAGCATCCCATCGACCCCAAAAGGGAAATACCTATCATTTAAAAGAAAAAGATGAAATAAACTGCTTTTAAAAAATATCAAAATTTAAAATTGATATACAAGTAACACCCATTACCCAACAGGAAGTTCGTAGCCAACCCATCCACTCTTGAAACCCAAATATCCACCCGCTATAATGACAAAGAGCATGGCACAAACATTTGCTGTTGTGACAATGGATTGCACGAGAGTACTCTGAAAGAATTATATGTTCCAGTAAACGAGATAAGAAAATAATAGTTTGACACACACACCTCGCATTCAAAAAGAAAAGAAACAGGTTACAACGTTACCTCCTTGATTCCAACACACAAGAGTCCAGTTACAACAATAACTAGAAGTGCTGCACATGGGTCAACCACAATATCAAGCCCAGGAAGATGCTGACGAGCTAGAAAAAAAGGTAGACTATCTGCCCCTCCAAAAAGCAAGGCCTGAAGAAAAGAAAAAGAAAATAGACAATATGCCCACTATTGAAGCATAGAAATGTACAATATTCTTTGCATCACATCACAATCAAACACACATTATAGTTGCGTGCATGTGTGTGTGTGCGTGTGTGTGTGTGTGAGAGAGAGAGAGAGAGAGAGAGAGTTTATTAAACATGGTTCTTTAATCCACTATAACTATTATATACTCTTCTTGTGCATCTATCTTAATTGGACAAAAACATAGCCAAGAGGCACAAATAATAAGTCAAATAGGTGATACAAAATTACAATTTTGTCTCGCCACAATACCTTTCTTCATGTAGCAGATAAGTAGAACCAGAAATCAAACAACATCAATCCACTGTTAAATACAAACAAACTAGAGTGTAGAGGGAGTTCACTTAAAAGGTTTTTCCAGGTTTGACAACCACCAAGTACGAATGAAGACTAAAATGCTTCCAACATTCTAGGATTCACCAAAGACACTTCTGCCATCTGAAGAAGAACCTTCATTTGATAGCTCCTCTTATCTAATTGTCAATTATAAAGGCTCAACAACAAAAGCAACTCCTCATTCAGCATATAAACCCTATTAAATTTCCAAATTAGTCAAACATATCCAGAAGTACAAGAGTACGTCAAAAACATAAATCACACTTTTCCTTGTCTGGTTTCAAGCAATTAGTGATTATAAGTTTCATGTGTATATGACTACCTACAACTTGTTTAGCACCTGATCAAAATTGCTTGGATGCTCATTGTTCCTTTAGTGGAATGGATAAAAAGGAATTGCAACAAAGAAATGCAAAGACAATCAACATGGACAACTTTTTCCACGAAATAGAAAATGGAAGTCATAAAATCCATCAGACGAGCAGAACTAAAAAATAGAGAGCTTAAACTTCAGAGATAATGCACCATACCAGATTTGGTGATATGCCACGAGCAACTGCCGAACCGCCAATTGTATATTCCAATATCAGAGCCCAACCAATTAACCAAGCAACACTGCAAATAAAGAAAATCCTAAATCACTAACTGAAAGAATATCTATAGCCTCAAGAGTCAAGGGAAAACACCAAATTGGTTTTAGTTATCTCCTTATTCTCAAACCTCAAAAACACAATCTTGAACCACAATGTCTGGAAGATTAAAATACATATACGTTTAAATTTTAATTTGCACAATTCAAAAAAATACAAAGCATAACCTAAAGTAATGTCTACAACCAGGAAAAGAGACAGCTCTGTATGAACTCAAGAACTACATGAATATGGAAAGATGTTTTGAATGATATCAGAGGCAATAACAAATTACCCTTCTCCAACACATATGTATGAATAATGATAGGCACTTCCAGCTGATGGGCAACGACTGGCAAGCTCCGCATAGCAGAAGGCTGAGAGAGCAGCTGCAATCCCAGCTATCAGGAATGAAAAGGTCAGGGCTGGCCCAGAGTGCTCCCTTGCAACCGTGCCAACAAGAATATAAACCCCAGCACCAATTGTTGAGCCAACTCCTAATCAGAGGGTAAAGATATTTAAAACCATAGGCCCACAACAAGTCAAAGCTAAAAATTTGTAATTGAAATAGGGGAAAGTAGTGTAATTCAATGCATAAAAAGTGGTGCATACATTCAGTTATAACCCATGTATCTAAAATGTAAATGTCAAAAGTCAAAACTAAAAAATTATTTTTCAAAAAATGACAATCTAAAAAGCTGTAAGTACTGCCAGCATGATTGAGAAAACATTAAAAAACACAAACTTCAAAATCTAACAAAACAGATACTATTTTAATGTTTTGCGGGTTTTCAGCATGCTATGATGCAAACTGGCATTGAAGTATATGAACACCCACAAGTCTAACAATTTTCAGCCAGATAGAAGAAAGGTAAATCATATAAGAGGAAATTGAAACACATGAAACAGAATTTTGGTGTTTTCAGAAACAAAAACAATGAAATTTTGGTGTTTTCAGAAACAAAAACAATGAAAAGATACAAACAGCCCTCCTCCTAATTTTTGTGCAAAACAGACTTTAAAATTTTGAAAACAACTTTGATTTTTGCTAAAAAGCATGTATTTTTCAGAAAATTTCCAAACATCAAAACCCATCAAAGGAAAAAAGGAAAGAACCAAATCCAGGAACAGAAACATCCACAAATCTGAACAAAACCCAGATCAGAAACAGGAGAGAACAAAAAAAAAAAAAAGGGAAAAGATTGTGAATCTACCAATGGCAATCAGGTGAAAAACAGACAACTCCTTGGCCAATTGATGATGACCAGACCCAGAAGACTTGGCATGGATAGAATCAACCTGTTTCCTCCTAATCAAACCTTTAAACCCACAAGTCCATGGACAAGCACCGCCATCATTTTGTGAATCACAACGAAAACCCATCAAACAAAACACCCAATTCTCAAAGAATTCTCTTGTTCTACGCAATAAAGATAAAGAATTTTAGCTTTAGCTTTAGCTTTTTGGGTCTCTGGCAAAATCTAAGAGAGCAAAGAAAAGACAGGACCAGAACAAGAGAGAGAAGAGAAAGAAATTGAGCTGCCCGCGTCCCTAAGTTCTTGGGAGATCCCTGCAGTGTGATTTGGGGGAAGCGGGCAGAGAAGAATCAGGAGAGAATCGGTGAAAATGGGTGGGGGATATAGGTGATGAATGATGATGATGACGACGAGGATGATGATGAAAAAGAGCTTTGAATTATTGATGGCTTCGTTTGGTACCTCTCAAAATATAATTTTACCTATTGATTTGAGTATGTTGTATGTTTAAAGTTTTCAAATCATAATTCTATATTTATTTCTCAAAATTTAATTTAAAAAATATAACTATTGCTTTGCATCAAGCAATTAGTGATTATAAGTTTCATGTGTATATGACTACCTACAACTTGTTTAGCACCTGATCAAAATTGCTTGGATGCTCATTGTTCCTTTAGTGGAATGGATAAAAAGGAATTGCAACAAAGAAATGCAAAGACAATCAACATGGACAACTTTTTCCACGAAATAGAAAATGGAAGTCATAAAATCCATCAGACGAGCAGAACTAAAAAATAGAGAGCTTAAACTTCAGAGATAATGCACCATACCAGATTTGGTGATATGCCACGAGCAACTGCCGAACCGCCAATTGTATATTCCAATATCAGAGCCCAACCAATTAACCAAGCAACACTGCAAATAAAGAAAATCCTAAACACTAACTGTTTTATGTGTTTGGTTACGATTTGAGTGTAGAGTTATTTTTAAATTTAAAATATTAACATTTAAAATTATTTTAAATTTTTGAATATTTAAATTATTTAAATTTTTACAATTTAAATTTTTAAATATTTATTTTAATTTTTTACTTATTAAATTTTTTAGATTATTTAAATTATTTAAATTTTTATTATTTAAATTTTTTGAAAATTTATTTTGAAAAAAAATTATTTCCTTTGTAGTATTTTCAATTAAGAAATTGATTAATGTTATTTTCTGTTAATAATAATTTTTTTTAATCGAATTTTAAAAAGAGCTTGGTTATGAGTATTGATCAAAATTTTCAATAGTGTGAAAGTAGTGTATTTTGTTATGAGTTATAATAATTTGAATTAAATTTTGAAAACTCTTTCCAAAACTCATAACCAAACAAATTTTCTTACTTCACATGTCCAATCAAGCTTTCAAAACTCAATTACACACTCAATTCAATACTATATTCAAAAATCATAACCAAATAAATTTTTTGCACTCAAATCATAATTTCACAACTCACAAACTCAAAATACAACTTATACTCTCAAATCATATTTAGAAAATTCTATTAAAACTCTACCAAACGCAACCATTGTTTTTTTTATCTTCTTTCCTTCACAGACAGAGTCTCTTTTCTGATTGGGCTCCGGCGTCGGCTTCGGCTTGGCCTGGACTGCCACTCAGTCACATGCCAGTTGGATGCTGACCAAAAATAATCAATGATTAATATTGAAAAAATCTACCAAAAAAACAAAATAGAATAATGTTAGGGAGGATTTTACAGTTTGGGAGGCTGCTGCATGTTATGCGTGTGTAATTAATGGAACTTTTTTTTGATATTATTTTGATGATTTAAATTATTTAATTTTTAAATGATATTGAATAAAATATACCCGTGAAAATTTAAGTTAATCGGATCTTGATATTCTTTTCATCAAGACATGTTTTTATTCATATTTATACTTAAATTAATTTATTATTCAATTTTTTACATACAAATATGTCTAGATGAAAAGGATACCAATCTCCAATTAGTTTGAATTTTTACAGGTATATTGTATTCAATGTCTTCTAAAAATGAGTGGTTCGAATCGTCAGAATGAAGGCTAAAAAAAAGTTCCATTAACCGCGCAACGTTGCCTGCTGCGCAGGGTGGGCAGCAACTTCCTCAATCCCAAATTTTATTATACATATACACTTTTAGTTGCATTATTTTTTTTTAACTTATGGCTAAATTTCTTCTTTAATTATGGCTAAATTTTAATATTTTGATTATGACTTTTATGTGTTTAGTTATAACTTTTTTTTATTTTTTTTAATTATGACTAAGAAAATATAAAATTATGTCATTTTTTTCTATAATTATAAGAAGCAAATGACACACATTCCTCAAAGTTAAACTCACTTTTTACATTCAATGATCTAATATTTTATTACAATATCTAAGTCAACTTTTTATTTATTTGAGAAGTGACTATTTGTGCAAAAAAGTAGATAGAAGAATTAGTAGTGACTTTTTAGCTATTTTAAATGTTTGTCAAAGAAATCTTAATATTAATTAATCATATCTTTTACACATCAAATATAGAATATGAGTTTAAAAAGTAGGTTTGTATATTATTAAAAATGAGGGCAAATGCTGACAAATGCCCTTTATGCATTGTTTGATTTAGGAAGTGTGTATAAAATGTCTTAAAAATATGTAAAAATGTTAAAAATTGTATTGATTTAGTGAAAAATATCTTGTGTTCTTTAAATTTTTTTTGTCTTTTTAGCTGTATCCTAAGAGCATTTGTTAATAAGACCCAAAATACAAAGGAGAAGAGAGTGAAAAAAAACTTTTACGCTAGGTTTGGCATCCCCTCAAAATGTCAAAAAGTCAAAAAGTCACTATTTTATTTAAGTCACATCACCTCTTCATCACATCACTTCAAATCCAACCAATATTACATAAAGAGTCAAAAAGTACACTTATTTAAAATATCACAAACAACCATAGTCAGCCATAAGTCTAATTTCAAAATATTTTGAGCAATAGTCTTAAGGTCTTTTTTAAGGCTAGAAGAATAAAACAATTTGAAAAAATCATATTATTTTTACATGTATGTCTATTTGTGCATGTCATATATACATTCAAGTGTTATCTATCTGTTTATTTGTTTGCGTGTCATTCTATATTTGTATATATGTTACTTATTTATCCACTTAATTTTTTATCTGTCCATTTCACCGTCACCATTAGTCACCGTCACCAATCACCGGCGGTGACCTTTCTGACTATTTTTGCGGTGATTGTTTAGTGGCCTTGCAATAATCTAACAGCAATGGTAGAATGAAAAAAAAAAAACAAAAACAAAAACAAAACAATAAGTTATTTTTCACCCAAACAATTATATTAATTGTATCATTATCTCTATTAAGCAATCCTTAAACCAAATGTCATATCCCCATAGAAATAGACTTACCACCAGTTATTCCAACTTTTATACTATAATAACGTAGCAATAATTTAAAAATGTAAATCGCATTGATAAAATTTTATTTAAAAGAGGAAATAACAAATCAGTGGTATTTCTAAAAAATAATTATAGATTTATGGTAAATTTTACAAATTTTAATGATTAAATTCATATACTTTTTCATAAATCTATAATTATTTTTTAAAAGTATCAGTGTTTTTGTTATTTCTCGTTTTTTTAAATAATGGGATTAAAGTTGTCATAACATTTTGAAATAAAATTATGTATAGTTTTTTTTAATTTTTTTTTTTTTTATGATATTACTCTCAATAGTGTTAAGGGAAGACTTAAAAATTGGGTTTAGGAATGTGTTTTCTTGAATAAGAATTTAATAATCACACTTTTTGGTAACAAAGAGATATGTCACATGCTTAATTATACCATTCAAATGTTCAACATGTGTGAATCCTGTAAATTGCATTCTGGAAAGCAAAGGACAAGACGGCATTTTGTACCTTTCTATTTTAGCATGGAGAGAGCGTGTTTGGGTTGGTAAATTTATTTTTAAACCGATTTAGATTATTTATTTTTTAAAATTTATCCGATAGAATATTTATATAAAAAAAATAAGATTATTGAATATCGTTAGTTATATGTTTGAATTATATTTATTTTTTAAAAAAAATATACGACAAATATAATTTTAACAATAGACATTCATTTTTTATAATATAAATTTGATTCATACATATAATTACTGATAATAGATCATTTTAATTTTTACGTCAACATGTTACTTAATAAATCTTAAAAAATTAACGATTTTAATTACTAAAATCGATTCTAAAATAAACTTAAGTCTAAAGGTTCCCTCAAATTAAAATGACCAATATAAGAAAAACTCAACCCTATTAATAAATATATTAAGTAGACATAATATTAAATAAATTTCACATTAAATGATGAATCCCATATGTTTTTCATTTTAATTAACATGTTTATTGGTACACTAATATTTCGAACATTACTATTAACGTGATTGAATAGAATTTTCCACTAATAGCCTTTTTCATCCTTTCAAGGGAAAAAAAAAATTACCTCAATTCTCAAATATGCTTCTTTTGGCTTGTTAGAATTCTCCTCCCTAGTGGCATGTTCAAAAAGCAAAAAACAGATAAAAAAAAATTTCTCCCTGTGGAGTTTTAACCGTCGCGTCATTAATTGTGTTCCCAAATGAAGGGCCCACAATTTTATTTGCCAACCTTATATGGTAAAACTATTAAAGTCATGTTTAGTAATTATTTTGTTTTTAATTTTTAATTTATATTTATAAAAATTTTAAAAATTATTATGAAAATTTATTTGATAATTTTTTTAATTTATAAATAATTTTTTTAGTTTATAAATTTTAAAAAAAACGTAAACTCAAAAAATAAGTATATGTTGATTTTTAAATAGAAATTTAAAATTTTGATTAATTATTTTTTTCAAATAATTATTTTTTTCAATTATAATGTGTATGATCCCATTGTCATAAATAATAAAAAATAAATATAAATATTTTAGGCCTGAATAAACATATTTTTTAGTTTATGTTTTTAAAAATTTTCAAACATTTTGTTCAAATTAAACGTGTTTGTAATTTATATTTTTCTAAAAATAAACAAAAACTAATTTATAAAATTTTTATAAATATAAACAAAAAAAAAGTAAATGTTACCGAACGCTATCTAAATGTTTTGAATAATATTTTAAATCAATTATCAATTGACATATTTTATGTTGTCTCGCAAAAGACGAATGGTGCTAACTAAATTAATAACTTTCAAATTAAAGTAAAATAGGTTAAATGAGGGGCGTTTGATAATATGATTAAATATTTAAAATTGAATTGATGAAGTAATAATTAACTAAATTCATTTGATAATCATAATTAATATTACTTAAAAATTTAAGTATCTTTAAAATTGTATGTTTCTCAAGAAAATTTTAAGTCATATAAAATTTACTTAATTCT